AGTATGGGAGCTGTGGCAGCTTTCGCAGGAACATGACCTATTGTCCTGTCAGGCCTTCAGGCAGTTCATCCCTGACCCATCCTTTTGTTCCACCTTCAGGGCATAACACAAACATAGCACCAAAAGATTGATGTGAACTGAAGACACTCAGCAAACACCAAAAGACATCCAACGACATGGGTTTCCTATATGGTTTCGCTGGGTCTCGTGTTTGCAGCTCCGGTCCAGCCGATTAAGGATGTTCTTACTTATGCTTCGGCGATGTGTGTCTGCGAGAATGCTGGTGAATGGGTCCAAAGCTTGATGCCCAGCTCGATTTTAGGTGCGTTTTTGTTCGTGAGGTCAGCGATGGCGACCAGGATATACCCCGGAGACGACAGTAAAAACTACCTCCCAGTGAATTATAGATGCTGCTTTGGTTCAAAGAAGGGGTCGAAGAGATGCACTTGTTTCGAGGCGGGTGGAACCTGATACCCCGAACTTGCCTGTTGTTCTCGGCCAGTTCGATGGCTGAAAGAAGATCATCCACACCCGCTGAGTAGGTGAACCATTGTTCAACAAAGAAGTGTGGGAGGGGGCTTGACGAGTAGTCTCTAAGCCCATGGCATGTGTCTATGTGTTTCGCAGGGGCGCCTGTGGGCGCCCGTTTGTCGGTTCAATCCAGACACCAGCACCACTAAAGGGAAAACATGGTCTGGACAAAAGTACATCCATTTTTAAATCATAGGACAGTAGTAGGTGGCACGGTTGTACGAGGTTTTGGACGGACACACTTTGTTAAATGCCGGACATGCATTTACTCGCCAGCTAAGTTTGCACACATCGCCAGGAACTCGCTCTTCATCAGCCCATGAAACCACCACATGTTCCTTCAGGAGGTTTTTTTGACGGTCCCTTTACTGTTGTTCGTGCATTCTGGCCAACAAGCATATATTTCCTTCTGCTGGCATGCTGGCCTAAGGATGCTGCTTGAGGCTTTGGTTGAAGCATCTTTGGAAATGCTGGTGTGTTTAGATTAGCTTTGGTTGCTGGCGCAAGGCCATGCCAATGGCAAGTTGCTTTTGTACTGCCAGGTTTCTCGCAGACACTTGCAATCATCCAATATTTTGTGTTTTGTCGTTTTAGTCTTTGCGAGGTGATGTTTGGATAGGTGTTTATGTTATTTGTAAGCGATATCACCCCCTTAACACTGACCGTCTCGTTCACTGTTCCAATTGTCAGAACCTCTTGTAGGCACATGCGTGTTTTATCAAGACTTGTTGGCATATAGTTCTGCAGTCTTTCAGAGGCTATGAAGAGGGGCACTGGGACTGCTGGAACGTGCTGCAGGAGAACTGGGAAGCAGTGCTTTTTTCTGCAATCCCTTCGTACTCACTGGCTCTCAAGGTTGCTTGGTGGAGACAGGCGTGTGAAATCCGAAGAAGGCCACGGCTACAAACTACGATGCAGATTTGGACTTTGTCTCGCAGTTTGGCGAGACACTTGGAACCCTTCAAGAAAAACGAACCTCCTAGCGGGTAGGTAATAACTAATAAGACCAAAAACAAGGAAACCTACCACTACCAGACTCAGAGGTCTCCTGAAGGATCATTCCCTCATTTCTCACTATAAGCATCAGCCTCGGTGTCAAGAAGATCACCGACTCGAGTTCGCTTGCGGAAGTAGCAGGTACACATCGGTGGCGAATGCCCAAAGCAGTGCTCACCATGAAGCGTTGCCTTCAGTGCTCACCTTGACCTGGATCGACTTGTGCAAAGCGCGCCTCCCATGTTCGGAGATGGATCTGTATGGATTCCTCGCGAGCTTGTAGAATGGTGGTTCGATGTGGTTTCTGTTAACCCATTTTGAGCAGCTTTGCATTGGTGCCTTCAGGTCTTTGTTACAAAATGAAGTTTTCCACAATGTGACAATGTGTGTAAGAGTTGTGCTTGTTTAACTGTAATTCAGCCGAGCCCCGCCGACCCCAGCCGAGTTCTAGTTGGCTCATAAAAAAAAGCAGCAGCCCTGAAGTCATTGATGGATGCAGAGCATTGTGGACTACAACAAGGCCTGGGTGATACGTCAAAACCGAAGGGGGAGCGACGAACTTTTGGAGGAAACCAGGTGGCCTTCGATCCAGTTGGCCCCCACCCGCGTCCTATCCAAGTTTTGGACGTTTTCCACAGTGCTTGAGAGTTGCTTCAGCATAGAGCAACACCTGTGTTGTTTTTGTGCATGGGGCTTAGCAATGTTTCTGCCACCCAACTCAGTCCCCTTTTGAACACTGTGTAGGAATGTTTATTTGTAGGTAGATTGAAGTTTGTAATTATACACCATATACGTATAAATATACATATCCATTAGATAAGTCTGCTCCAATCCTGGAATTGCATAGGGCCATAGGGTCATGTTTTCTCATGTCTCATATGGACACATATAATCATATATATAATACACGTTGATGGATATGTCATGTTATGTTTGATCTATGTCTTTTGCACAAGTAAAAGCAATACCAAAGCGTTTGTTCTCTCTTGGCCGTATATCCATCCGTGGCCTCAAAACTTGCTCGGCTTCAGTGGCCAGCGTGTGTGAGGCCATCGGAAAGTGCACAGACCAGCGGCTCTGGAAGGATGCCTTGCAACTTCTTGATGATCTCAGTTTGGAAGGACCGAGCGTGCCACTTGCTTTGATCCCAAAGTGGCAACAATTACCACTTGTCATGCAATTTTTGAGGAGGACATGGACATACTGTAAGCCCATTGAAGTTCATTGCGCAGGCTTTGAGCCAACTGTCTTCACCTTCGGTGCGACTTTGGGTGTCCTTGAGAAAACATCCAGATGGAAAGAGGCTGTGGCCGTTCTTAGCAGCGCGCTTGTGCAAGATGTTCAAGTCAATTTGACGCTGGGTCTTCCAAGGATTTGCCACGGACCAGTGTCCAGGGTCCAACGGGGCAGAATGGCAGGACAGAAGAAAGGGCGTTCCCATGCACCACTGGAGTTTAAGGGATGATGGGGTGTTCAATGTTCGGGATGCGTTTTACCATGGATGATGTTAACTAGGGTGGAGGGTGGTCAAAACAGGCCGCACTGTTCGGGTTGCTGTCACAAAGTCCGCAGCCGTGATCCTGTTGCCAGATTTGCCACAGCCTAGGATACTTTACAATGCTGCTCTCAGTGCTTGTGCCAAAGGACGACAATGGCAATGTGCGCTAAGCTTCATGAAAGAGCTGAGGGAGGACGCGAGGCCGGAACGAAGAAAGGCGTCGGAAGCGTCGTGGTGTGAATCAGCATTGTAGTCCTGTCGGTTTCCCTTGTTGTGTTGGGGGTCTTCTCCGCAAACCAGGTCCAACGCCTATGGACACGCCGTCGCCATATTTTGGGTGGGTCCCCGACAAGCCGTGAATCGGAGAGGCTACAGCCTGACATTGTAACCTACAGTTCTGGCATCAGTGCTTGTGAGAAAGCTGCTCGTTGGACAGAAGCCCTAAGCGTGCTCGAGATGGCCTTGGATCAAGCTGTGCAGGACATCAGATTAGTTAGTTAAAGATCGACCCGGAGCATTTCACATACACCAGGGGAGCTTTCGCATCATACACCATGTCACCATGTGATGTGTTGCACTTCCTTTAGCAAGTTGGTTCGGTTGGTTTGTCCGAATTAATATTCCCTTCGGACATATTTACCGGAAGCTCTATTTATATATTCGCCGGCAGCACGCAGGCCGATGTCATTGCCTTCAATGCCGCAATCAGTGCATTGGAGAAAGCCGGCAGGTAAGATACATAAAGAATCATAAAGAACTTCCCTTTCGCTACGTGGAGTGTTCCGCTATGAAGAAACCGTAAACCATGTTTGGTTGACCACGGAAAAATAAAGTAATATCAGGTATCCGGGCCGGACCCACATCCATATAGAACTCATGACATCTTCCAAGATCTTCTAAGGGCGGGGCAACGGGAGGCAACCCCCACGATGCCACTATGTTTGTGTGGTATCATGTGTTACTGTTCTGTTTGCTCATTTAGTTGCTGTTGTCGGGTGATTCTGGTTCACCTGCAGGTGGGAGGCAGTCTTCTCCGTATTCAATACTATGAGCATGATCGAGATTCAGCCTGACCTCATCTCCATGAATGCTGCTAGGCTTCGACACCGGACACCAAGCACACACAACCCTTGGAATGAAGAAGACTTGAGAATGTTTTGGGTTTCTTAATTGAATGATATCCCCACAGGTGCCCTGGTCTTGAAGGGGAAAGCTTTGTTGATGTTAAGCGATCATGGTACCCTAGCAGGATGAGGCAGGAGAATGCAGGTGGTTGTAGGAGCCAATGCGGTGCAAAGGTTTCAGGAGCACCCAGCCATTCCACTAACACCATATGAGGCGGAATACAGGCATATACGAGCATGAGGAATGCCATCATGATCCATCATGATAATTGAACACATGCTCACCCGGCAAATTGGGACTCCAGCTTTGGTGGGTAGGAAGCCGGAAGGAGAACAAAGCACCTGGGCACCGGGAATCTTGGCGAAACCTTGTTCCCTTATACTACTTGTGCATCATCCTTTTGTCATCAATGGTCCATTGTTTAATTGTTTGGTTCCCCCCCCGCCCAGTAGCAGCAACAATTGATGCGATTGCTTCTAGTAGGTCTCCAACTGCCTCCTGAGTCCTGAGAATGTGTTTGGGGTGGGTTTGGAGGGAAACATGTCTAAACCCCTCTTGGGGATTCTTTTGATGAACCCCAACTGATGGCCACCATCCTGATAACCCAAGCCATTCACCATCTTGAGGCTGCAATCAGCGCATGCGAGAAGGCCAACGAATGGCAGAGCGCGTTGAATCTCTACAGTGCAATGCAGCTGCAGCGTGAATCGGGCGACATCATCACTTTTGGCGCGACCATCAGTGCATGTGAAAAAGCTAGCTGCTGGCAAGAAGCCTTGGCGCTCTTAGCCATTCTGAAGCAAAGGAGCGAATGTTACAGGACCAAAGAATGTTAAATAAAGACCAACCATTGGCACTGCCAAATCTGGTGGGTGCCCTCGTTTGTTGAGAGCCGCTGTTTTTGAGATGTAGAGCCCACACTTTGCCACTCGTGGACCCATCAAGCTTATGCCCTACATCACCTCCACGCCATGAGGTCTAGGAAACTCGAAGGACTGAGTACGAACACGAACGGGGATCTCCCCAGTTCTGTCCCCGGTGTCGGCGGACTTGATGATCGACCACGGGACCTTGAAAAAGAATGCCTAGATTCCTGCAATTTAAGTATAGTTAATGTATGTTAATGTGTCTATAGACTGTTGGTGAACAACGGCATCCCTGCCAGAATGGCATTACAACTCCATAAGGTTTTTTCTTAATCAACAGTTCAACCGTCTACATTCGTCCTTCAAGAACATCATAAGCAAAGTCAATCCCCCCAAAAGGGGTGATGCACTTCGTTAACTTCATTTCGTCCTCCAGGCAGCCACATCAGAAGAGCAGGGCCTTGTTGGGCTCTGGTGTGGTGCCCTACAGCGCAGCTGTGAGTGCTTGCGGTTGGGCTTCCAAATGGCAAGAAGCGATGTCGTTGCTGGAGGTCCAGGGTGTTGAGCAGATCTGTCGAGAGCAGATTTGTCAAGATCGCTTCACGCTTGTTCTTGTTTGTTGGGGGGGGGCTGTCTTTATGGCTCAGAAAAACTATAAAGCACGTGGAGAAGCCGCAGACTAGGTGAAGGTGCTTCCATGCCATGTCCTGCTTGTGATGGCATGTCATGGCCATACATTCCGGTAGGAATTGGTGTGTCTTTGGAAGCCTGACGTCATTGCATTCTGCGCTGCGATCAGTGCCTGTGAACGCGCTGCGCAATGGACGAAAGTTCTTGAGCTGCTGAAAGACATGCGCCTCAGGCAGGGGCAACTGACCTGGCCAATAGGTGCATGGCTCAATCCTTCAGTTTTGAACCATTCTGGTTGAGGAGAACTTCCCTGCGTAGCCTGGAGTCTCACAGTTTGCTACCCTCATGATCTCTCATGCATCCTCATGCTGTGTTTGCTTCCAGTGGTCCATTTCTTTCTTGGCTGGACCTCAAGGACCGACTGAGAGTTGAAGGACTACCCTTAGATTGGTGTTCGACTTGTTGGGCTGAATAATGAAGACTGGGTGAGAGTTCCAAGGTTGGAAAGTCTATGGGTGTACAGATCCAGCAAAATAAACAGTGTGATCAACCCCCCCCAAAAAAAAGACGGTCCCTACCCGCCGAAAAGAACCACTTCGCACACCCAGACACGTTTGCGAGTTCATCAACGCTTCGTGCAAACCACCTCTGGAACGAGGCATTTGAGAGCTGACATGATGACCTACAACGCTGCGATCAGCGTTTTGGACAAGGCGGAGAAATGGGAGGAAGCACTTTCCTTGTTCGCGCTGGCCTCGCAGAAGAAGATGCTGGTGGCTTCTTGGTCTGAAGGCATCAATTGAGAAAGTCCTACGTAAGAATTCACACCTTGGACAACTTGTTGGCTGGACCAACCAGGCAGTAGAAAAGACTTTGCAAGATCAATTTACAACTCTGTTTACAGGGAGTGCATGTGAAATTATGGTGTCCTGTTTGCGACATAGCCGTTCTGAAAAGCACCTTCCCTGCAACATGACCCAACCAGCGGAACAAAAGCCTTCCTGACGTGCAGCGTCATCCGCTTGGCAAACTCGGGAGTTACAATTCCCCAAAAAACTTAACTTATATATTATATACCACCTGAAACATCCCGAGGTTGGCTTCGTATCCGGTCAAGGATGGAAGTCCCCGGAGTCCCCAGGCGTGATACCACAGAGAATAATGAGTCCTCGTGCAACAGAACCCCCCCTATAAGGAGACATAAGGAGTATGGGAGCTGTGGCAGCTTT